GTTCTACCACTTGAGCCACAGCGCCACTTCCGGCTTTTTTCTTTTTGCTTATGTGGTGCTGAGGAATCGAACCCAGGGCTTCAGGCATGCAAGGCAAGCGCTCTACCACTGAGCCAACTTCCCAGCCCCAAGAAGTTTTTTTTTTTTTTTTAAATTCTTACATTTGGGGACTGGGCAATTTTGCATCAATTTTTTTCATGTGTTACAAGGTATGGATTGAGGTAAATATCAGGTGAATATCCACTTGCTCCAGCACAGCTGTTGAAAACTCTTTGTTGGGTTGCCTTTATCAGGTATTCATTGTCTGTGTATGTAGATCTATTTATGGACTGTGTCTTTTCCATTTACCAACCTATCTATCTATCTTTATGCCAGTATTACAATGGCTTGATTTGTTCTTTTTCAAAGTTATTTTGATCCCTTGCACTTTTATATACATTGTAAAATTAGCTTGCTAATTTTTATAAGATTGTGTTCTGGGATTTTCACTAGGATTTTTTCTGCATCCATCAATCATATAGGAAGACTTTTCATCTAAATGCTATTGAATCTTTTGGCCCATCAGAATAGTATCATTTATTTAGCTTATCTTTAATCTTTTCCAGCAATACTTTGGAGTAGTGTATATATACTATATGTCTTCTGTCGGATTTATGCCTAAATATTAATATATTCAAGGCCATTGTTAAGTGGTACTATTTTAAAATTTCAGTTGCTAAGTTTTCATTGCTAACATAAATGCAAATGTTTGTGTGTATGTGTGTGTTTGCAGGGATTAAATTCAGATCCTGCATATACTTGCATATATTTTCCTAGGAAAGCACTCCACTGAGCTATATCCCTAGCCCCCGAAAGTGATTTCCCGCCCCTCCTAATACTGAGGCTTGAACTGAGGGTTTGGGCACTTTTTTAAAAAATAATTTTTTTATTGTGAAAATATTGTACAGAGGGTTATAGGTACATGAGCAAGGTAATGAGTACATTTCTTATCAAGCATTGTTGCCTCCTCCTTTGTATGTCCCCTGCCATCCCTTCCCTCCCACCTCAACAGCTACACTCCTCCCCTCCCCACTTCCCTGGCCTAAATTGTAAAGTTTGTTTTTCAATATAGTGTCTTGTACATCTCCTTGTTGCAATGGGTCCACCTGTATCTGAATTTAAACATTTTGTTTTTTCCCTTCCCCTCCCCAAATTATACCAACATCAAATACAGTGAAAACAGGAGTTATACCGAGGGGGAGGGACATACAGAGCAACAACAACAAAAAAAACACATGGTACCTTATAAATATGTTAGAAACAATAGCAAAAAAGGAAAAAAAAACACTTGTGTCCCTATCTTGGGGTTCATTTCACTTAACATAATCTTATATGACCTTTTCTGCTTGTCCCAGACATATACCAGTTATTGCAAATAAGGGAAACCATGGGACCTATGTTTCTTTGGGCCTGGCTTACTTCACTTAATATAATTTTTTCCAAGTCTTTCCATTTCCTAACAATGGGGCAATGTTATTCTTTCTGATGGAGGCATAGAATTCCCGGATAAATAAGTGGGCTAATGACTTAAAGAGAAACTTCAGGAAATAAGAATGGCCAATAGACACATGAAGAAATGCTCAACTTTTCTAGCCATAAAAGAAATGCAAATCAAAACAACATTGAGATATCACCTCACTCCAGTTAGAACGGCAAAAATCAAGAACTCTAACAACAACAGATGCTGGAGGGGATGTGGACAGAAAGGAACCTTTCTTCATTGTTGGTGGGAATGTAAACTTATTCAACCATTTTGGAAAGCAGTATGGAGGTTCCTCAAAAGACTCCAAATAGAGCTCCCCTATGACCCAGCAATCCCACTTTTGGGATCACAAATAAGACCATATTAAAGCTACCAGCACAACTATGTTTACTGCAGCATTATTTACCATAGCTAAGCTATGGAACCAACCCAGATGCCCTTCATTAGATGAATGGATCAAGAAAATGTGATATATATATATATAGGACACTGTCTTTTAGGTGTTTTTTTTTAAATACCCTATTGGCTGAGCCACAGCTCTACTTCTGGTTTTTTAGTGGTTACTAGAGATGAGAGTCTCACATACTTTCCTGCTTGCACTGGCTTTCAACTATGATCATCAGGTCTCAGCTTCTTGAGTAACTAGGATTACAGGCATTACCCACTGGTGCCCAGCCCTGCAAGTGATTTTGGGACTGATGTAGTATCCTGAAACTTGGCATAATTTGCTTATTAGGTTTCTTACCTTTATTTTCTAATGGTATTGGTGTTTGAACTCAGGACCTTGCATTTGCCAAGCAGTTGCTCTGACACCTAGCCATGCTTCCAGCCCTCTTTTGCTGCGTGTTGTTGTTATTTTTAGTGTGTGTGTGTGTGTGTGTGTGTGTGTGTG